CTGTCGCTACCTTAAGACTTTCCTTCACAGTGCATATCGAAGTGTGGTGCTTTAAGTTGCACTTCTGACAAACAGTTGTACTTCGACACTCATTAGCTCGGTGTTTTGGGCCCGTACAATTAAAACACAATTTCTTCCTGGCTAGAATCCCCTTCCTGTCATCCACACTCACCACGCGTGTACACTCTCGTGAACCATGGCTGACGTCATCACAATACACACAAGGGCGTTTACGGGCATTGGCATTAAATAGACTTTCTCGTCTACTCCCCTTTCGTCTCTCTTTGTCACCGTCCTTGACAATCTCTTTATCACTAAGGTTTATGTCCCTCCATTGTTTTAAAGCTCTAATAAGATGTGCTAAATCCCATTCTTGCCAATTCCCTTGTCCTCTCACTAGGTCACTCTTTATCCCTGGCAATTTGTCAAGCACACTTCGTGTCATTCCATTCACACGCTCAACTTTTCCCATTGTTTCAAGTGATTGTACATTAAAAAGCAGAATTTTATAGAAATTGTTTATCTCACCTGGATCAGTACTTTTCACCACTGGTAACTCGAGAATGTTCTGGACATAGGCATTGACAATTTCGCTCGGTTTGCCGTACTCTCCTTTTAAGATATTTTTTGCCCTTTCATACCCCTCTACGGTTAGAGGCAACCCATCGATATCAGCTCTCACCTTCGGCTTAACAAACTCTTTCAAATAGGTAAACTTCGTAACAGGCGACAAATCGGCACCGTCAATTTCAGCAACAAATTTGTTCCAAAAGGGTGGCCAATTCGCACATTTCCCATCGAACTGCGTAATAGATAGCTTCGGTAATTTTGTCGACGCCGCTTTCTTTACTTGGTTTTGTTGTCCCGTTGCTAACACCTTCTGAAACTTTAGCTGTTGTTCATAAAGTTCACGTTCGTGACTCATTTTTTGTTCGTGCTTTTCGTCCTCGATTGCCCTCTCTTGTTTAACTGATTCGGCCAATTCAACGGCCTGGTTTTCCTTCGCTATATTTTCTTTTATTCGTTTTAATTCTAACAATTTCTCGTCGGCCGTTTTCAAAGTTCCTTCAATGTCGACAAGCCATTCTTGCACTTGCTCTTCAGTTTGTTTCTGACCGAATTTCAATTCTATAATGTCATCTTTTAAGGCGTGACTCGCTTCGATTTTACCTTTGATTGACGCTTCGTGTCTAGTTATCACATCGAGGTTTCTCGTTTCGATTTCTTGTTCGCTTTTACCCAACGTAAATTTTAATGTTCGTAGTTTCCCATCAAGCTCTTGTAGTTTTGTCTCCATGCTTTTCTTTCACTTCGTTTGTTTAGTTATATATAATAAATCACTCGATAAATAGCGGTCGTATATCACTGTAGTTTGTACGCTGTCGTTTAGTTTCGATTTGTCACTCGATAAATATGCTAGGTTCTTGCTCTTGTTCGAGCTTAAAATCTCACAAATCCCATCACGGAGGTGCCAGTTGTTGAGAATTGCCTCCCGTTGATTCCCAACATAAATTAAAATTACAAACACTGTGTATTTCTATAGTTTTATTGACAAAAATCTCATGCTTCGCTGTGTTCTTTCCCGAATCTCTCGCTCTGTAAACATTCTCAACGGTATATTCCGGAGCTGTCCGACTGTCTGCGAGTATACTCGCATGTCCCACGCGATAATAAAAAAGCTAAATATAGTTTCCGACACCACAAAGGATATTAAAGGTCCCGACACAGCGATGTTTTAGTTTTTGAAAGTTAATAAAACAGCCAATGAGAGCAAATTTTAAAAGATAAGTAGATCAAATAACTCAAAATGTTATAACGCTTCCAAATATTTGGAAAATTTAAACTAGGATCAAACTCAAAGTTATCGGTCAGTGAAAATCGAAAAAATCGCTTCGCGTTGTCGAATCGCGTCCGGTGTGTCTGGACCTTAAAGCAGAAAGAACGGGGCCCGACAAACATTTTCCCGACCTTGGTACAAATTTCCCGACCAAAAATATTTTCGTCCTATATTGCTCGACTCACCGCACCGACGACGAACAGATTAAATATTTTCGCCTGCACGTTAAAGCCATTTCTTGCTTATTCGATGCGTCGTGCTTCCCTTTCTTCATTTGCGCGATTTTTAAGAAAAATTTCCCAAATTTTAAGTAGAATCTGTCAGGTTTTTATGTAGAATCTGCCCGATTTGTAAGTATAATCTGCCCGACTTAAAAATGATCGATCCTCTCTCCTATATACACCTATGCATGGAAAGAATTTAGAAACACTTTGAAAGATACATGGTTTATTTTTAAATCCATTTCAAAAATCCATATGTTTCACAAATTATTACATATTAATTATTACTATAAAAATATCAAAACCACTCTGCCAAAGCGGTAAATTGATTTGCACGCGTAGGATTGATTTTATGTACCACATGCATGATGAACGTTTTGAGCACAACGTGACCACTTTTGAACCTCGACCGGATTTCAACCTGCATCACTGGGCAAAAAATTTATTATATTCCATAAATAGCCAAACAAGCAATAGTAAGTGGATAATCGCGTACTGTGTCAGTTCAAGAATGTTTATATCGGCTCTACCTTCACATGTTAATAATTTTATATGACGTTTATAGGCCCAGTTTAGATGGCGGACTTTTCATGCGCCGAATCTAATTGTCGTAGATACGGCAAACTGATATCGGAAACTGATTTAGACGTCGAACTGAATTGTACCGTACCACTTTTGCGAGGACACTATGCTGTCCGGAAATGGGATTGATATGCCCGGTGGACTTTATCGCCGGTAGCTGACGTCACCGACACGCTACCGGAAGTGCAAGCTAAGCATGTTTTCTAAGTATTCGGGAAAATTGTGAAAATATACAACAACATTGTGACTTTTAAGCGAAATATATTTGTTTTAAACCTTTTATTGTGACTTGTTGTGGGATACATGTCCTTGGAGGCGGGAATCCCCAACATTAATACTGGACATATTTACAATGCTAATATATGATAATCATAATTTAACGGTTAAAGAATAATTATGCATTCGGTTCTGCGCATGAAAAACACGGCGTTAAAATCAATGTCGAACGGTATCGCATGTACGACTTGTCTTGTCGCATCTTCGAGTCGTGTCGAACTTAATCAAAACCTGCCGAACTTAATTGATTTAGACGCCGCTCCAGCGTCGCACTTAATCCTTGCATTAGATTCGGCGCATGAAAAGCTCGCCGTCTAAACCGGGCCTAATGCATTCAATTGAAGTAATTCTAAGCCGTAAACATATTTTACTTCTTGGCCATTTAATCAAAATACGACTCACTCGGACGTATGTTGAGCGCAATAGTTGAAAAAGTTTCGTCTCAACTTTGAAATTTTTTGGCCTGCTGGCCAAGACGACTTCTCGTAAGAATTCGTTAAGAAAGCACAAATTCAAAAGTTGAGCGTTTCTTGATTTTCAATTGAAAAGATCAACTAGTGGCTAAAATTCATTGTGAATTGTATTCTATCGAACGTGAACGATAACGTGTACATACGAAGAGTTTTAAAAACCTTCACGTCATGCTTCTCGCGAAAGCAACCGTTCACCGTAAGCTTTCGCAGGCGTTTTGAGCAAAGACTCTAAAAGATTGCCAGTATAATACCTGAAAATACCAGAAGAATTTACTAAACTATCGTATAACCGCGGAATTTTACTCCCAATATATATTTCTTCATCAAAATCTGGCTACAAAACAGTCATGCAGAATTTCCGGCTCAGTTTTCCCGCCATATTTATCTTGCCATCATAGACAACGTCGCCATAGTAACAACAACAAACTCGTTACCAGTTCATTGCATCACACATAGATCAGCGTGCCTATTGCCGTTTCACCGCCCTATATATATAAGCGCCCTGCGTTATAGCTTGCGCCAAAAAATTCAATTTTCAAAGGCATTAAACGAACGTCCACTCCATTCAGCAATTACCAATTTTTGAAGGGGTTAAATGTTTTGTCAGATTACGTATTTCTTGCTTTTCAAAAGCAAGAAAATTTCTACTATTATCTTACATATTTCTTGCTTTCCAATTTATTCCCCCCCTTTGTTTAGCTACGGCCCTGCCTATGCAATAATAAACGGGGAAAGTAAACGGAAATTGTACTTATTTTTGCACTTATTTTTAATATTAATGCACTTATTGTTAGATGCAAATAACCAAGACCAAATAATGTATGTATGTAATTTTGTTGTAATAATAGGCAAGGAGATCCCTATTTAGAGTTAACCTTAGCCTGCGGCGTAGCAGGCAAAATTAGGGCGGGAGAACGGCGCAGGCTAGATTATCCTCTGGATCTCCCGCAAAGCCCTTGTCATAGTGAATAAATTAACGCATGCATGGCCGTTTAATCCAACCACAGTTATTTTAACAGATGGTTTGGAGACTCGATAAAAGTACAATATAACTCATTAACCATGTTATTGTCCAGCTTTATGCAAGAATTTGGTCCTATCTCGTCACGTGTGCATTGTATTTTCGCTCGAATAACCAATAATAAGTTTGTCGTTGAGTTATCCATCCGTAACTTGAACAAATGCTCAATTTAAACATTGCTATTGGTTGTGCGGGAAAAAATGCAATACACACGTGACGAGATAGGCCCAAATTCTTGCATAAACCGAAACCAACATAGTTAATGAGTTATATTATACTTTCATCGAGTCTCCAAACCATGTACTCTATTAACTGTGATCCAACTAAGGGCAGTACTCCTTCATAGGCGCTTTTAATAATAGGTGCCCAGTGACTGCCGATGCAGCGTTGTTTTCCCGATCTATTCATTGAGAGCGTCAAGTTTGAGGCAGCATTTTCTGAATAGTAATTCCTAGTTTATAGCAGAAAAATGATGCAAACTAATTTTTTTCTGTTTTCTCTAGATGAAAATCGTGGGTATTGTATTGCTCGTTGCGTGTTTTCTTCATATAAACATTCCCGCCTCCAGCGCAATGACTAGATCGGAGGAATGCGGGAATATTTGCCATGGTCGTGCGCGGACGTGTATTCATAGTATTCGTTGCAGTTCAGACACATTAGCATGTTTGCAGAGAATGAAGGGATGCAAGCAATATGCAAAAACGTGTTTTAACAATTGCATGAGGGGAATAAGCGTATAGAACCATATGGAACGCTTCACTATTTTAATGGATTTTCCGCCATTAACTCATTAAAATATTTTAAATAAAAATTATCTATGTGAAAATACATTTAATTTATTTATTTATCACCGGTAATTGAAGCCGTGATTTGTGGGATTTATATTGTGGAACTCATATATCATTCTAGTTAAAAATATTATTGCCCAGCAAATAATTCGTAAAAGAGGCATATTCAGAAAACATTTGGTATAAACTTTTGGCTGAATATGCCTCTTTTAAGAATTATTTGCTGGGCAATAATATTTTTAACTAGAATTCAATTTCCGCCTGGTGTATGTTTCTATATTGCTGACATATATCATTCATCATGCAAGAGGCACCATGCATTGCCCGTCTCATGCATCTATCAAGATTGAACAAGCCAGTTAATTCAGCAATGATAGTATACTGTAATGACAATGTGGTCGTGAGAACAAATAATGCCTGATATTATCCTCATACTCATAGCCGCCATGTTCTTCTGTATAAAGCGCATGCATGTGATGTCATGCACAGCTGCATGCCATATATTGGTGTTTCAGAACAAAAGAATTTTAAATATTTTTATCAGCTATACCAATATGACCGCCATTTTCTTTGTTGTCTTCTTCCCAGGGAATGCATGAGTGAAGACGCTTTATAGAGGAACTACGAAGATACTCAAATTGTCTCGCTAGCGAATTATCCAACATTTTTTTTGGGTTTGCCGTACAAAGGCGAATTCTTTTTTTCGACCCGGGCTTCTTCAAACGAGTCGCCTTTTTAGTATCAGTCGGAATTTAGTATAAATTGTCGTTTTCGTGATCTTTTATGGCCATAAATACACATTCTGGTAACATTGCACGCCGTCGTCCAGGGCCAATGAAGTGATCGAGTTCATGTTCTATTACACGAAAACGTCCCAGTGCTATATGTTGCCATGATAACGCTCCACCAATGCACGCAAGCAAAGCAACGGTGAACAGAACGGAATTATCACAATGTCCGGCGAAGGCCACAATGGAGTGCGCTAACGTATAATTAACGCATATTTAGAAATAAACCCCGCATTTACCCCCCGCAGTACATTATAATTCACCTCCTGTGGAATCGTATAAATTAGTGATAAAAAACCAATAACATGTGTATTGTGCACACATGCATAGTTGTGACGTTTGTACCAATTAAGATTGCCAAAAAGGATTTTATTGCGTTTCTCAACCTTATAACCTGATGTTTAATACTATTGTCGGTGCATTTCAACATTAAATTAAATAGTTTGTCTTTCCTATTTACACCGCCTACGAAATATTAGCCGATATAATTAATAATTAAGGCGTTTTCTTGTGCTATCTAATTTGTAGAATTCGAGACTCTGAGATACTTTTCAGAAATGATTTAGTTTAGCCATCTTATATGCCTGATGTTATTTTGCGTTGTTCATTCTGTGATAAACTATGATAAAGACAGTAAAATCCATTCAATACACAATTAGAATATAATAACACTTGATGAATTTGTGTTAATTGAATTCCCCTGTGATAATGATGCGCCGGAGTTTGCCGACGAAAATCTTTTTATTATTATAATTATCAGTCTCGGCCTTGGCTGTCGAAGAAAGCCCATCATTGAATCAATAACAATACATGAACTTGTCTTTTGTAACCAAACTATAAACCGGTACCGATCGTTGATAAAAAGAACTTCTATAAATCCTGTGTAAAATATCAGTGTGATCATTTATGATATTTGTCTTCAACATGCAAAAACGTTTTCCCCATAATATCGACCGAATTATTGCATGGGAAAAAACAGGTGCAAGATCAGGTTAAAATTGCTTTAAAACAAACTGCGAATATATTATTAATTATTCAAAAACGTTCAAAGCAAATCTGGATATCAGAGTAGGACCAATAAAAATGAAAGAATAGTTTTCACAACATCTAACAATATAGTTTTCAAATTGGGAAAACTTGTGTCATTTGTGATTTTTTCCAACGTAAAATGAGGAACAGGTTTTTTGTAGAATAGGACGGTGTCTTGTGATCCTATGCGCATATTTATACTTTAATATATTCAATTTCCTGGCGACAAGCTGACATAAAAAAATGTGATAAATGTTTACTGAAACAATCGTACTCGGCCAGTTATTGGTGGACACGCTTGGAGGCTTGACTTCGCTTCAATCTGTCGAATAATAACAAGACATTTTGATATCATTCTGAAGACGAAGACCAGCAGTGATATTAAATCTTCTAGTATTGAATACATACAGTCAACAATTCAAGGTACAATGCAAAATCTATAGATGATTTAGATTCAGTCAAGATTAAATGTGTTTTTAATCAAAACATAATTTTAAAAACTCAATATCAGAATTAGTATTTATTTTATCAGTACATTTATTACTATCACTGATAATACTAACAACTGGAACAAAGATTGTCGTAGTTTTATATATATCTTAATTCACATATAGTCTGAAGCAAAGATGGCTTGTATCAGTCTATATTTATCCAGCCTATATATATAGAGAGAGAATAGAATATATAGTTTTAGAATTGTTTCTTTGACATTAATTATGCAATGATTATTTTACTGATGCAATTGTCACCAGACATACATATTTCATGCCCTGGCATTGAATCATGTGTAGTTTTGCCAAAACAAAAGACAAAACAAATTCGATAATGAATCGATGTTTGTAAAAAGTGTACTGAAGGGACTCTATATTACATAATAAAAGTAATTTTAAGTGAAATACCCAGAAACATGGTATATATAGAGCCCAATGGTAGGACTCCCAATTGGCAATGTAAAGCAGTCAATATAATTTTCTGTAAGGTGGTATTATTATATATAAATAGCTATAGTAAAGTGTATTCTTTTTCTGGATTGGTTAATCCTATTATAATCCTTTTTCTGGATTGGTTAAGCTTATATAGTATGCTAAATTTTCTATAACTAGCATCCATGTTGACCATTCATGCAAGCTAAGTAATAGCATGTTAACCGGCTATATAGTAAATACCAAATATATGCCTTTGCCAGCCGGTCATGCATGTAGAGTAAAAATACCGCCGGAAACGATATTTTCCTTGACATATATATATTAAACGAAAATATGGATTAAATGCTTTAAGGTGTTGCAGTAAACTGAGGCACCAATATTATGAACTTGGTTTCCACTGGCTGTACATGAGTCCAATAATGCAATATTTCGAAGTATTATTGTATTATAGATAACGTTAATGTATAAAGTCGAGACCTAATATTTTGGAATATTAGGCAAAGATGAATCCAATATAGGTGTTTTATGAAACATAACAATTTCATGGCCAGAAATCATGGACATGATTTACTTTACTTCCTTCGTAATTTGCATATCACGTTGAAATATGGCTTCTGCAGTAAACAGTAAATTATATTACGCGATGCTCTAAATCCCCAAATCAGAGAATGTGGTAGGTCGCAGTTGCAACTTGCCTCAGTCGCTGGCTATATAAATCAGAGTCTGTCGAAGTATTTAGCGTAATGTTGACTTGAATGATTTTAGTTAGTGATCATTCTGCATTTTCAGTATTTGTATACAGCTATTTCAATTAAGATGTCCACGAGCAAAGCGGAAAAGTCGAATACGAGCGCGAAAGGCTGCTGGGAATCGCTTTGAAAATTCATTAATTTGTTAGCGATTCCCAGCAGCCTTTCGCGCTCGTATACGACCTTTCCGCTTTGCTCGTGGACAACCTTAATTGAAATAGCTGTATACAAGGGTTAGTTTGTATGGAATTTGTCTATTTAACTCTATATATATAGCCACTAAAAACAAACGAAAATGCAGAATAGGCAGTCGTAACTTACACCAGGCAAACACTACACGATATATTTCAACAGACCGCGTGTTCTACAACCAGCAATCGCGAGGCAAATTGCAAACGACTACCAATATTCTCTGATTTTTAGATTTAAAGCATCTCGTAATATAATTTACTGTTTCCTATCGAAGCCATATATTTCAACGGGTTATCAGTGTATTAATGATATGCAAAGTTAGTATAAGGATCGAAGTAGAATAATCATGTCCGTGATTTCTGACCATGAAATCAAAATTGGAGTATAAGCAAGTATAAAAGAACCGCATGGATTACGATATATAGCGGCAACAATCATGCCGTATGACACCTCGGATGTGTATTTGCATGCATATACCGCCGGTATTTCCTCTTTTTAGCCTGCAGCCTCTCGGAGTTTAATCCCCAAACACATGAACTTCACGAAGACAGGAGTTTTCCCGCGCGTTATAATTTAACAAAAACCTGATAGAATAAACTCGTTACTTGACCTGAATAAAAAACAACGGCTGAGAACGTTCGATTAAGAAAGGAAAAAGCGGCGATAAGCTACTGTCCAATATCTGTCCGAAATCGAAATATCGGGATCGACCGTCACTTCGGTAATAAAACTCTAGATTTGTTCATGCAGTACGATTCATATTGACTCTTATGGATCAGTGGTTCACTGTCCACTGACGGCCATGCATATACATGTATTAATATATTCGAGGGGTAAATTACTCTGAAAATCTTCGTACACTTCATCAAAAATCAAAAAAAATCTTTGGAAAAATCCCAAAATCTTACTAAATCCCAGAATCCCAAGAAATCTCTAAAAATTGCATAAAATACTTGGAAAAAGCCCAATAAAATCCTCAAAATTATTGCAATATTGAGAAATCGCATAAAAAAAATACGTGAAAATACCCTTCGTTGATTTACTTCATTTTAAAAATAATTCGACGGATTATATGTCGCAAAAAATGTCGGAAAAAGTTCGGCGAAAAAAAATTGCCGGGATTTTCTAATTCAAAAATCTTCGTACGCTTTTTTCAGAGTAATTTACCCCTCGAATATATTCATAGACCTTCAGGAAAATTCCAGTTAGTTCTTGAACTGTACATGCAGTGGTAATGCGAGGACGAATTCTGAACAAAAGTTTCATGTGACAACTACATTTCAAGAGGTAGCTAATTCGTGCTTTATGCTATAAACCATAGGCGTACGAGGCGGGGGGGGGGGGTAGCCCTCAGTTTAGTCAGAAATACTCATTAGTCGGGCAATCTTCTTGTGTACCTGAAATAACTTTGGTCAAATAAATAAATGTTACAACAAGTAAATGTTATTAATAGTAAAAATGCGAAGTATTTAAAAATATTCAAACTAGAATGTATGATTGCATAAAGGTGACAAAATTATGATGTTTGTGATGTTACTCTGAGTGTATATCCACACCGGGCAAGCTTGAAACTCCGCTCCGACTGAGCTACGCGGTCAGGTCGGTTCGAGCCGTACCTACCGTGGCCAGGCATATTTTTCAAGCTTGCCCGGTGTGGATACTCAGAGTAACATCACAAACATCATATTCACCTGAGTACAAAACACCGGCAACACAGAAAAAAAAATCACGATTATTAGGTTGCATTGATGTCGAAGGAACTAGACACAGTTCCGAAATATCACATACTCGAACCAACCTGACCGCGTATGGCATTTTAGAGGTTCTACTTTTCAAAATTTTCCCCCGGAACCCCCTAACTGTTCTCGCGCCTTCGCCGCGATATATATATATATATATATATATATATATATATATATATATATATATATATATATATATATATATATATATATATATATATATATATATATACTTTTTTTTTGCCCCACCCGGTATATATACTTTTTTTTTGCCCCACCCGGTATATATAACTACAGACGGTACCGTTTCGGCCTTATGGGCCTCATCAGTGTAGTGCTGATGAGCAGGATGAAAGTAACTGCTATTTACAGTTACCTTTGATGCCTCACGATTGTGGGACATCAAAACCATGCCATGCAGAGCGCTCAAACTGCAAGCAGTGAGCGTGCATATCTATACATACATATCTATATATGGCATAAATGTTTAATTAATTAATTAAAGGTTTTATTTTCCACCTTAGAAAACTGATATCAGGAAAACATGCATCTGTCGTCAAGAATATATCTGATAGTTTTGGTTCTGGCATTGATTGCCATTACATGCTGTGCTGCTGACTGTTATGCTATCTGTGAAACTGACTACTCGGAATGTTTAAAAACGTTTTGCGGAATTGAAGTGAATTGTTTGCAAATTTGTGAAGACGAAAACAAAGCATGTAAAGAGAGTTGTTGAACCTGGACAATGCTATATTTTTGTTCTTAATTCACTGATATATGTTAAGCAAGACTATGTTATATATGTATGTAAGGATGTATTACAATGTTATACATTTCAGACAAAACATAATTATATTCTACAATATGATTATTCGCCATTCGGTAAAACTAATTAATTAACTGGATGAAAGTGTGTCGAGTGTCGACTTTTACTTACAACTGATGTATTAGAAAACTTTGAATGTAAGAAACTAGCATAAAATTAAAAGCATAATAATTCCTTGGTCTCCTCTTGTGCCTCTAGTATAAACATAACAATTCGTACTATATTTTGACTTCGTTATACTCAATTAGCAAATGTTGCTCAACTTTACTAAAGGTAAGACTAGGCCATATAAAATAAATTCCTTGATTCTCATCACCGCGCCCGACGATATTTTGGTTTCCGCGTTGATATATTTTTGTATTTTGTTATAAAATATAAATTTACCGCCCGACCGAGCATCTTCAGAGATTTAGTTATTTTTATATTGGAATTTTTGCGATATAAAATTGTTTTATCGTTAATATTGCAACATGTTAAGGGATGCTTGGAATACTGAAGGAAAAAATGGGCTTATAGCCTTATTACAACGATTTGTGTGGACCCTTATGCATGTTCATTAGCGTATGTGCAATTATCCACTTATATAGCGTTCTTCTATAATATATTTAAGGGCAAATATAAAAAGACCTCCCTCTCCAATTTTTTAAATTTTAACTTTTTTTTATATTTTGACATAAAATATAAAATATAAACCTCCCGCCTCCTGGGAGTTTTTAAAATTTAGCGATGAGAATCAAGGAATTTATTTTATATGGCCCTATTAATAACTAGTAGGTATAAGCAAATGCATGCATGATGTGGACCTCACCTGTAATTTTCACATATAGCAGGGATAAAAGCGTTCTGGAATCTCTTGATATTTGTAGGGAACAAGTCAACAAGTTGAAGATTCTATGGGCCCTAAAATTGTACATTGCATCGTATCTGGTAGGTAGAAGATCAAATTAATAATTTGTCAGTCATGAATGTTATTAAAAAGGTTAAGACACATTTTTTCACGTCTTTGAAAGAGTGCATGATTGAAGGTTAAAATTTTCTAAAACTTCGTTATATGATTCACCATGCAGGTGAGATAATTGATAGTATACACGCTTTTGTACTCAGTCCAAATCATCCGACAAAAACTTTGGGAGGGAATGGTGGAAGAAGTGCGCACAATACTCTAGAGCTGGCCTAATGCGCGTGGAAAAGAAAGCCACATGCAATGTCCTTGGCTGGCACATTTATAAGTTTTTAGGTGAAGCTCGTTTATGCAGAGAATCAGGCACGTAACAGCATTCTGAACTTTGATATATGCGTTTCTCTAAGGACAATCTCGGTTTGGTCGTATGTCATCAACATCAACATTGTTTGTTATTTGTTGGTATTTTGTTTCTTGTTCGTTTTCCTATAAAAATATTGCATAATCTTGACCAAACCCATTTATTTTATATTTATGTCTAATAAAGGTCACCTGACTCGTCTATAGGCCTATGGTTATTTCAGGTGGCCTGTATACTCATCAATTATCAATTAGTGGACGAGGTTGAGCAAAATATCGTGATTTGTCGGTGGCGAGCAGATCAATTACTGTTGCTGATGCCGAAGGCAGAGACATATAATTGATCAGCGAGCCACCGACAAATCACGATATTTTGCGAGAACCGAGTTCAACTATTGTTTTATCATTCACTTATAAAGCATTTTATCTTTCGTTTAAAATAAGTTCGCCGTCCCTCTTTCTTGCTTCTGCATAAAACTTGCGAAGGACGTTGACAAGAGTTTCTTTTGAGCCAACTAGATCGTCTTCGTTGATTTATCTTGCTTCTAAATGCTGCATGGCGAAAGACATTGACGGCGGTTTTAGTCGCTTTTTTGTTTTCCACGTTTTTTCTTCAACTAGATAAAGCAAGACAACTCATTTTCCGAAAGTTCAGCGAGCCGCCATTGTTTACAAAAATTGAAGGCAATGCGCATGCTCAGACTATTATTTGTAGCTGAGCAACGTTTTTAACAAATGCGCATGCTCAGACTATTATTTGCACGCAGTTATTTGCAGGTAAATTAATCAATCAAAATTGAGAATACTATATAAAGTGAATGATAATTGTAATTGTTTATCGTTTGTTTACATATTCTTCTTTTAACTTGTAATGTTCGAGTACAAATAAATTGTATTGTTGTTGTTGCTGTTGTTGTTGAGAAAGGGTTAACGTATCGGCAGATTTTGCCCTTAAAAGTTGCGGATTTCGGTTCTTGTTGAATTTTTTGTCGGATTTGCGGACCCTGCAAAAGTAGCGGATTTTCACAAAAATCAAGTTCGTATTATGGATTTTCTTTGCCGTAATTTGGTACAAATTGATCTTATTCCTCTCTCGAATTCTGGATTTTTTGTCACCAGGCGTAAACAGACACAAAGAAATGTTTCTCATGGACAAGCCAAAATAATTACATTGTACAATAATCGGTTACTGGTCGAAACAAAACTTTAATGTTTTTCAGTAGATTTGAAAATTTCAACAGACACAACTACGGATTTGAGAAAAAACAAGACGCTCTATTGAGCCAGTATTGCACATAAAGCAGTGATTGAGATTAAGCATGCCTTTTGTTTGTTTATGTTTTCATATGAAATTGTTTTTGTCAAAAATGGGACTCAAAGACATATCAAACACAAAGTCCATACTATTAGGCAAAAATCAAAAGATCTTCCGCCATCAGTCAGATCACTGCATGCATGAACTATAGCAAAATTGTGACTCCGACTATATGTTTATTACTAAGTAAGAAATGTTGTTTATTAACGGACACTGACAAACAACGCCCGAGATGTAAAATCTCTTTTAGGAAATCTGTAAGGAAAAAGCATTTCACTTACAAAAAGTGTTTGAAACTCTTCTGGCCCTTTCCGTCTTTAAAATCAACAGTATAGCATAGCAAATTTGATTGTCCGGAAACTACCGACGGCGTATATTTGTAATTTTGCACACTAATTCCCTTTATGCACATTCCCTTAATTTCGCCTGGTATTAATTTGATCTTTTCATCTATGAACCAAAACAGCTTCTACGGTATTCATAATTCTTACAATTTCAACGTAAATCCAATTCACATATATTTGTTTTAAAACTGTTATAACTGCTCCTTATTGATTCAGCGTTAGATTTTCGCATAATAAATCAGGTTGTCGTCCAGCTATATTTTGCGCTCATCGCCATTTGGCGATTTGTGACCACCCAAAATTCAAGATAGTCCACTGGATCCCAGCCTCCAGCGACTAATAAGGGCGGATTTTATAAAAATTGTCGGATTTGCGTACCCCTATTCGTCCCCTCCTGGCGTGACCAAGTCAAATACAGCGTTAACCAATCAAATGTTTGATACTGATACAAATCTTTCTATATGATTGGTTAAATTACATCTTATGTACACTTTTAATTTATCTTCTATACATCTCCAGTTACAAATTATTACTTTATAAATATGTTGGATAATTTCTTTGTGGAAAATCCTCTTCTGACACGACGCTTGCTCCACTAAGCCTGCGCTCAATTATTGAATGTACACGTTGCACTTGACCTATACTGTGTGTATTTTCTACATTATGTCCATAGTGTGAGTCAGTATATAAAATCCTTCTACCGTCTGTATGACAACCGTTATTATACTCACAGGGATAATGTTCAACATGAGTGCAACATCTTGGACAAATATGTATAGGCGGCCTATGTTCAACACGTGTTGACATCCGTGGTCGATGATTATTATTTACTCGCGAGAGAGACGAGTTGTTATTTACACTTTCATCAGCAGATAGTTGAGGTTCATAAAATGATCTCGTGGTTGATTCTGACATACAAGCTGTGCTAGTATGAGAGGAAGATGGATGTTGACTGGTTTTCGCTGCATTTTCATTTGACCTCTGACGTCGTACTCTCACGATGATGATAGCAACGATAGTAAATGTTAGAACAACCAAAACAGCAAGGATGCCAATAAATGTCATTTTAGCAAGTCTTCCCGTCCCTGACCGAGAGCTTGTTGAGGATATTACAGACACAGAAGTTTGTGAATCTTCTAAAAATACAAGAAAGAATTATTTGATATTTCCTAAATGCGTTTATTGACCGGTGTTATATACTATGCAACAAAATGCACTGGAGTCCAGGGGCGCGCATCCAAAGTTTTTTTTTTTGGGGGGGGGAGGGGTGCCTTTGTTCTGGGACTGACTTTCCTTTAATCACAAAGTCTCATTTCGGGAGCTCGAGTGGCTTTTAAGCCACACTGTATAGTAATATACGATATGGCAATTATTACTTAGATATATGGTATACTTGAAACAAACGATTAATTAGTTGTGATTAATCACCAAATAATGAAGTGTTAAACAAATCAATGTGTTATTTAACAAATAGATAAGATTTTTCCGTTGTCTGTTCAGTTATAGATACACAGTATGAGATCATAATATATGTGGGAAGAACAAAAAAGTGGCTCACGAGCCGCCGAGGCAATATATATTTTTATATCCAAATTTGTTTGGAAATAAACCAAAAATAGTGTACGAGTTATTACATCATGGCCCGGTTGGAGACAGCTCTAGAGGGGTCGGGGGCAATGCTCCTCCGGGAAATTTGGAAATTGAGAGTCTCTGAAATTCGATTTCCTGCATTATTGGGGAAGATTGTACAGAATTCCGAAGATTGTAAAAGACATGAAACACATGATTTTTCATGACATTTTTTATGTACATTGAAAATAAAAACTTCACCTTTGTTTTCATTAAAAATCTGGCAAAAGCCTAGCTCGTTCTACATCGAAGGTCAGTACTCATTCTGTGGGTTTTGCCTCGGGTTTTGCGATATGTCAGTCTATTAACAATTTGCGACCATATGTTTATCTCTTTTCGACATATTGCATGCACAAATGATCATCCGTTTTGGATCAAATCCGACCGGCCGACAACTGACATTAATACCATAATGATAATTAGCACATCTCCACATACACTTACTGTATCTATGTTTACTACATGCATGCATGTATAGTACTGTACTGCATTGTATTGAACTGCAGCACTGTATTCATGTGACTGTATTGCATTGCACATAACTGTGCTGGATCTGTAGTGCAATAAACTATACCGGCGTATACATAGCCTGCGTGGCAGGCCCTCAATTTTATGGGGGGCCTGATTTGCACTGTGATGTACTGTATCTACATAATTACTGCACGTACTGTGTCGCTAAATTCAGAGTCATATTCATGAAAAGTCAACTAAATTACCTACCGATACTAGCGTAAGAGAGCTGGAAACCAGTACTATTTTGTGGGTTAAATATTCCAATATATGAATACCATATTGAAATTACGTTAGATGTACTGTAAATATCTTCAATTATTTGTTCTTCAGTTAGTTCATTGTCATATATCCTCTTCAATATTTCCGAAGTAGAACTGTTTCCATCTCTTATGACTACTGACGAGTTTTTTGCAAGTCTCAATGAATCAAACCACAGCTTCACTTTCATTCCTTTAGCAACCTGAACAAACCAATGGCAGCTTGATAGTTCTGTAGTTAAGAAAGACAAGCGAGATTTTGGAGATACGATAGTACCACCAGCCGAGGAAAATACGCAACCACAAGATTTGCACTCTAGAATATAATTGATAAAATGCCAAAATAAATTTATTTGAAATACAACAAAATACATAAAATACAATTTTCATCCACCGAAACACCCATTTCCACACAAGGTTTGATTGAGAAATGAACCATAAAGCCTTTTTCTTCACCAGGGGGAGGGGGCAACCGCTCCTAGTCCAATAATTTCTCTACCAACAATAGGCGGTCATATGTGCATGAAAACCTAAATTCACCCCTCCCCCCATTATATATTTTGCGAAGTGGCCGCCACTGGTTAGGGGATTAACCTTAAATTTCTAAATATAACGACATTAGACAGGACCAACCAAAACGTACCTTTACAAGGTGGCAGAGTGCATGGCATGAACTCCATGCGCTTCCCAGTACATTGTGACGAATCGTGTGACTTTTGATAAGTATCCAGAGGACAAAATCTCACTCTGTATTTTCTTCCATTACCACATTCTGCAACGGAAGTACAGGAACCCCAGGCTGACCACTCAGTCCAATCAGTCCATCGAGGTTCTAATAAATATAACATCCTTTTTATAATACCACTCCTACAATTTTAATTTGCTTACCGTGAGGAAAATTCCTGTTCTGTTGGCATGTGTGTTCAATTCGGATAAAAACTGATTTGAAAGTAAACCGTACTATTATTTTGTGGTGATTGGTTGAATTTTGTTGAACTGAGTAGAGCAAAGAGTGGTTTGGGTAAGGTTCACTATCACCAAATATTGTGCAAATAAGAATCTTCCTTCTTTGTAATTTCATTTCATTCAACATGCTGAGGATCGACCTCATGTTTTAAATCCTGGGAATGGCTGGGTTGCGTATAAGTTATTATATCATATATAGGCTTGCCGCCACAATTCTTTAAATTTCCATTAATCTCTCAAGGACCATTTCCACTTAAAAAAATTTTCCGCGGAAAGAAAAATTTGTAAAATGTGATTGGCCGACACAAATTTTCAGATGGAAAAAATTTTGAAGTTGAAAATTTTCAACTTTTAACAAAGATAAAGATACGAACCGTTTGAAGTCTACCGGCCTATTTCAAGTTGCGTACACATTCCGGTCGATAATCGAGTATGAATCATAACGCTGACCAGGACAATGTGGACTCATCCTCGATTATCACTCAGTTCATCGCAAAGCCCCTACTTGAATCATGCCCAGCGGTATATGCTTGTATATTTATATTGTATTGCTTATTTAAATTATGAATTTGAAATATATAAGTAACTGATTATTGGCAAGACAAAGATAAGTATTATCCTATTTAAATTATGCAGTTATTTACATAACTGATATCATTCAATTTTCTAACCAAAGACTTATT